ATAGTTCTTCCCACTGGAAACCATTTAGGAATAAAAGCCAAATAAGCATGGGCTGCCCTTGTAGACAATTTCTGTTTGGAAGAAATTATCTAACGTATCTCATAATGTACTTTTACAGGGCTATGTGTAAATTAAACGATAACAAGTTGAGACATAATCCAAATTCTATCATCATAATCTCCTGAATGTGTGTACAAGTAGATAATTAATCAAGAAGAACGGAAAGGGGGAAGGCATAAGAGGCTTAGGTTCTTTCTGGTTTTATTTAGATTGGGGGAAAAAATGGGTGAAAGAAACTGCCCATCTATACCTAATCTCTGTTAGATGAACATGAATTGCTGTAATAGCTTTGATTGTGCACACATTTCCCATACTTTTTATATAAAATGAGAATGAACATGTTAAACAAACAAGCATTTTCTTCCAGTGCTTCATCTGTTTCGATATAATTAATATCCAAATGAAAATTTCATCAAAATCTATGCTAACCCCCCCCCCCCAACAACCTCAACTACAAACACTCTGAAGCAGAGGGGAAAGCATGTAGGATTTCTCAATATGTTTCTTTTGTTTATGCAATGATAACCCTCTAATGGCACAGGAAGGACAAGTTGTCCTCACAATCATCATAAGCTATCCAAACCTAAGCAATTCAAAATCTCACTACTTTCAGATACATACCCTCAAACTGTCCCAGTTTGGCAGGGACAGCCCTAGTTAATCCTCTACCATCTCATTTCTAAACTGCTTTTAAAATGGCCCAGTTTCTTTCTTCTCCTCCCACTGTCCACCTTCAGCTTCAGCTTACTTCAATGGCTGCAAACTGAATTACAATGGCAAAAGTAGCTTAAACTCAGTTATTTCAGCAGGAGGGAGAAGAGAGGATGGGCAAAGCTTTTCCCCTTCTGGGTATGCTCAGACAAAAGCAAACTGCTGCCGCTTCTTCTATCTTTGGAACAGAAATCCTGTCCTGCAAGGCTCCAATTTTCTTCTTAATGTAAACAAAAGGAATAAACATAGCTTGTAGAAAGCAAGGGAAGCTGCTCCTATTTAAGAGGGGATTTCCTTGAGGAGATCCACTTTGAATTACAACACCTTAAAGTGTACACCAGGTGCTCTATCAATCTCTGTTTTTCACAGACACAAGGATGCCCTCATCTCATGGATGCCACCCGAAAGATCAATATTACAGAGAAGCATTCCTAATTTGATTTTTTTTCTCCACCTTTCAGTCCTGATTTTTTTGGGGTGGGGATGGGTAGATTTGTTTCAATCTTATTTTTAAGGAACGGCTTTACTGATTTTATTCCTCCTTCTCTCTTTCTTTTGATTGACTAATCATCTGTTCGTGTCAGAACTGTGCAGTGCCACAGGAAAGAAACCATTATTGGTAGACATTGAACACTGGAAGTGATTTTATTGTCTACTTACTTTGAAAAAGACCCCCCCCCCAGGTAGAGCAAATTCCATTTATATTAACAATACACACATCTTCTCAGAAGTAAATTCAGATGAGTCCAGTGGGACTTAGGGTGCATGCACACTGTAGAAATAAAGCAGTTTGACACCACTTTAACTGCATGGCATTATCCTACAAAATCCTGAGATTTGTAGTTTTATAAGGCATCAGAACACTTTGGCAGAGAAGGTGAAAGGCCTTATAAAACTACAAATCTCAGGTTCCCATAGGATGGAGCCATTAAAGTGGTGTCAAACTTCATAATTTCTACAGTGAAGATGCACCCTTAAAGGTAAAGGTAAAGGTTTCCCCTTTGACAAGGTTGTGAAGTTGTGTCTGACCATATGGGGCAGTACTCATCTCCGTTACTCAGTCAAAGAGTTAACCCTGTCAAAGGCATCTCTGTGATCATGTGGCCAGCATGACTGCACAGAACACTGTTACCATCCCACCAAAGTGGTACCTATTTATCTACCTGCACTTTTATATCCTTTCAAACTGCTAGGTTTGCAGAAGCTGGAACTAGAGATGGCAGCTCACTCCATCATACTGCACTTGGGCTGCGAACTGCCAACCTACCGATCTTGCAACTGTCATAATCAGCATCTTATGAGATCCACTGTGTCCTTTACTCTTAAATAAATGTATACAGGGATTGTATATAGGACTGTTGCCTGAGACATTCTGAAAGATAACTAGAATGCATGGATTTGTTTATGACAATCAAGTTTTTCCAGCAATGTGTTCCTTGATTAATTATGTTCCATTTGTTTTCTGAAACTAAAAGTATTGCACATTATTTCCTCCACCATTTTTATTTTAAGAACAACCCTGCAAAGCAGGCTGTGCTGAGAAGCTATGACTGGCTCACAATAACCACACAAGTGTTATGTTATGGTGAGACTTGATCTGATCTACGGTGTGCACTGGGCAGGGAAGGTGACTATGAACACAGAGTTCATACAGTGGATCTGAAGGAAAGAAATAATTTTGAGCAGGTCTGAAAAAGGCATTTTTATTTTAGAATAACATATTATGTAATATTTATTGTTAACCATGCTGTGCACATGCATGCACATTCAATGTATTTATTTTTCTTTTCTTTTCTTTTTTCAGACCTTTCTAAAACCATTGTATAAATTACAAGGTCTCTTGCCTAAAATAGTAGTTTTGTGTATTCTTCTTCATTAATAACTTTTGCTCTTTTGTTGCCTGGTCACATCCTTTTGATCATAATGAAAAGGTGCTCAGCTATACATAGAATCATAGAGTTGGAAGAGACCACAAGGGCCATCTAGTCCAACCCCCTGCCATTCAGGAACTCAAAGCATCCCTGACAGATGGCCATCCAGCCTCTGTTTAAAGACCTCCAAAGAAGGAGACTCCACCACACTCTGAGGGAGCATGTTCCACTGTTGAACAGCTCTCACTGTCAGGAAGTTCCTCCTAATGTTGAGGTGGAATCTCTTTTCCTGTATCTTGCATCTGTTGTTCCAGATCCTGTTCTCTGGAGCAGTAGAAAACAAGCTAGCGCCCTCCTCAACATGACATCCCTTCAAATATTTAAAGAGGGCTATCATATCCTCTCTTAACCGTCTATTCTCCAGACTAAACATCCCCAGTTCCCTAAGCATGGTTTCCAGCCCCTTCACCATTTTAGTCTCCCTTCTCTGGACACGCTCCAGTTTTTCAACATCCTTTTTGAATTGTGGTGCCCAGAACTGGACACAGTATTCCAGGTAGGGCCTAAGCAGAATACAGAGGCACTATTACTTCCCTTGATCTAGATATTATACTTCTATTGATGCAGCCTAAAATTGCATTGGTCTTTTTAGCTGCGGCATCACACTGTTGACTCATGTTCAACTTGTGGTCTACTAGGACTCCTAGATCCCTTTCACACATAGTCTCATTAAGCCAGGTGTCCCCCATCTTATATCTTTTTTGTGCAGTACCTTACATTTCTCTGTGTCGAAATTCATTTTTTTTTAGCTTTCTAATCTATTAAGGTCATTTTGAATTTTCATCCTGTCCTCTGGGGTATTAGCTATTCCTCCTAATTTGGTGTCATCTGCATGCCCCCTATTCCTTCATCCATATCATTGATAAAGATGTTGAATAGCACTGGTCCCAGGACAGAACCCTGTGGCTCCCCCCTGGTCACTTCTCTCCAGGATGAAGAGGAGCCATTGCTGGGCACCCTTTGGGTTCGGTCAGTCAACCAGTTACTAATCCACCTAATAGTTGTATTCTCTAGCCCACATTTTACTAGCTTGTTTGCAAGAATATCATGGGGGACCTTGTCAAAAGCCTTACTGAAATCAAGATATGCTATGTCTACCACATTCCCTTCATCTACCAAAGTGGTAATTTTTTTTTTAAAAAAAAATCAGATTAGTCTGTTATGACTTGTTTTTGGGAAACCCATGTTGACTTTTAGTAATTATGTCATTCCCTTCTAAATGTTCACAGACTCTCTGTTTAATGAACTGTTCTAGAATCTTTCCCAGTATTGATGTCAGACTAACTGGGTGATAGTTGCTGGAATCCTCTTTTTTCCCCTTTTTGAAGATGGGGACAATGTTTTCCCCCCTCCCTTCTGCTGGGACTTCTCCTATTCTCCAGGATTTCTCAAAGATTATTGCC